CCCCAAAACCCCAAAACCCCAAAACCCCAAAACCCCAATACATAAAAAGAATATTGGGATATTATAAAATATAACATGAAGTTTATTCTTCTATTAAGCTTGCTCTTGGCTATCTCATTCGCTCAAGAGTATACTATTGACACTAGCTCGCAGTGCTATAATTGAGCATCAAATAACATGAAAGTTTGCAAGGATCCATCCGATGAGTCTACTCTATATTGTTGTGATACCTTTGATTTCTCATATAACTGTGGAGGCGTTTATGATGATCAGTGAACTGATCAAATCTCTGATCAATACTCTAACTTTGGCAACGGTAGAGACTTCCTTCTTTGTGATACCCGCAATGAGTGCTATGATTCATATTATTATGCATACTCCGACTCATGGGGTTATTTGAACAAATACTTCATTGAATCACAAAAAGCTTGCGTCATGAAGGTTTGGAATCATGGCTACAAAAGCTCAAGGCTTCGGATTGAAGACATAGATGTTAAAAATGCTGATGTCTACATGTACTCTTATAATCCAAATGAGAATAAACCATATAAGTACGAAGGAGTGCTAGATTCGTGGGGTAATCAAGACCAATATGTTCACACTCCGGAAGACCAAGCTCTACATTTAGTTGTTGTCCCTCAGGATGAGGATAATAGTGTTACCTTTTATTTTAAAGCAATTAGAAACAAGAGAATCTCAGCTGGAGGTATTGTTGCTATTGTGTTCGGAAGCATCTTCTTGGCTACATTCTGACTTTCATGCTGTTGTTGTATTATCAGGAGGAGAAAGAGAAATTTAAGAAGAAATCAACCAACCAGAGCTCCAGGAATCAACCCCCAAGCTAACCCGAATCTGACTCCTGCTTCCCAATACATTGCTGTTCAATCAGAGCCCAACCCCAGATCAAACATTCCTTCTTATCAACAGTACCCAAACAACGCTTACCCTCAGACCAACTATCCCGCTCAGGCTCAACACTCAGTAATTCCTCCTTACCCTGTAGTCCAAACTGTAAGTTATCTTAAAATTTCACCTTCAGGCCTTATAATAATAACTGATATAGAACAACGCTCAGACCCAGCCTCTGATAAACACCCAATACCAGACCAACTCCTCAAGTGGGAACCTTAGCTCTGGACACGGAGCTCATGCACAGTCAGAAGCAACGGGATATATCCCAGCCTCCCCCACTTATCCTGCACTTACCAGGAAAGATTAAGATTTGAGGATAAATTACGAACCTGTTCTAACCAAATTGTCTCAACTCTCAAATATTGATTTGGGGTTTTGGGGTTTTGGGGTTTTGGGGTTTTGGGGTTTTGGGG